AATTACTCTTTACAAGTATCTCAAGAGAATGCATATATAGCATACCAGGATTAACGGAGATAGCTGAAATGAGTGGACCATATACTCCTTTATCTGGGATTCTAATAGTCCCTTTTCCAGCCCAGTAGAAGCGAATCTCCAAGGTATTATCAGTGACAGAAGCAGTGAAGTTTCTAACAATTGCCTTATTAACTCCACCTGCTTCATCTTCAATATTGAAATCCTTTCTCTCCAGCTTTCCCTGAAATAATTTAACCCATTATATATTATAGATCTTCTTATGCTATTGAGAGTAAGTAAATTACAATAAAAGAAAAACAACAAGCCAAAACTAATCTCCATCTATTAACAATAACAAAATTTAACCTATTCATACAGAAAACTTCTATAATCTACAAGGGTATATTTCACAAATGACATTTTTCTCTTGTGAATAATGGTTGTAGGTATGTGATTACCTGAACATAAACATCAAATATGCGCCTTCCGAGACTCCTATATGTTCTGTCAGCAGTAAACATGATCTCAGCAAAGTGAAGGTTTACTGTGTAGTTTCCGTTTTCCAGACAGAATCCATAATATGTCAGTGACAGAGGAGATAGTCGAGCATTCATGTACAGCTGAGGATCCTGCCCAGAGATACTAGAGATGTTCTCCCGGATGTAAAAATCTACACTGTAATCGTCCATGAAGTGACCTGTGCTGCTAAATGCCCAGTTAGTCTTACTCTGCACGAAATTAGATGGCCCACCAGATTCGCCGTCTCCTTCATATGTTGTATCTTTATCAACTTTTACTTCTCTTCCACCACAATTTATGTGGAGAGAGTAATACTCTGAAAAACAATCCAAAAAATGAGTTCTCTCAGTTTGATCAGATAAAAGAGGGCTAAAAAGGAGGGGAAAATACAAGGAAACTGAATGCACACACAGAAAAGAAATAATATGTTTTTCTTGTGCAAAATTATAATATATGGAAGTCCAGAAGCCCCCTCAACAATATTCAAAAACTGACTACACCACCGGTGCATGCACTTTTATACAAGCATATGGTAAAATCCCCTGAACCAGCTTGCAGAATACAATACTTTTGTGCTACTAATATCGAAGTTGTGATGAGACAAACCAACACAAAGGCAAAGAACATGAGTTATTTTCTACATGGAAAATTAATATGTCAGTCACTCAGAAAATTCCCATGTAATCCTCCACACTGCTTGCATTGTTGCCTGGCACAGTTAATCTTAAATCCAGCCAATGTACATTTTATAATCATCAGAAACAGGAATTTGGCTTCAAATATTTTCATAGCAATTTTTAATATAAGCTTTCATAGCTTATTTCCACAGCGTGTAGTGCAGTTCTGTTACACCCCACTTAATTATAGTCAAAAATCAAAAGTTGACTTATCAAAGTCAATGTCTAATATGGACTTGAATGGACCATTTTTTTTTTT